AATAGGGCCATCTCAAAAGCCCACGGTGTTTAAATATATTAATAATTATAATATATTTAATTACAAAATATTTTCTGTTTATAACAATTTTTCAAGGACAATAAATAGTGCGTATTGTGAAATCTTCGCCCGTCGGCAGAAATTCTGGCGGTAGACTTAAGGTTCCAGAACGGGTAAGTAATTGTATCGTTCTGGTTAGTTTTACCCCATCCTCCTTTCTTTTATTGTTTGAGAGGCGGATGGATCCTTTCTTTAATTTACAATAATAAATCATAACTATTATTCTTAATTTTCTTTCTATTTAATTTCTTATATTTCTCCTTACCCCCCCCCCCCCTCCTTAATTAATTTCTGAATTTTCGGCAACTAGGAAACACGAATCCCAGTAAGATAAACAGAGCTCACGCTCTGGCAGTTTGAATTCCTCCAACAAACTGGAAAATAGGGCCATCTCAAAAGCCCAAAATAATCATTATAGTTAAATCAACTATATTAATTATTTAAATATTTTCTCGTTCGTAACATCCACCAGAATCCTACAGCGCAAAGAGAGCAAAACATGCTCCAACAAGAACAAAACACTACGTCACTAGAATCAGCGACAAATGTTGCAACGGTTCTCAACCCTAATCTCTTGGAAACAGAATCTTTAGATACAGAATCCGCAGTAAATAAAAACGCTACCGACGAAACGCAAAATAATTCAAAAAAACCGCACTAGCAGTTTAAATTCAACATTTTTTGCACCCCCAGGTACAGGAACTACCCCAAAGATTTCAATTCCATCACGACGCGGTCGACACCCAAAAACAAAGAAACCCCCTGTTTCTAACGCAGCAAATAAACAAATTCTTGCACGCTTTGATACCATTCAGGCATCCCAGGCTTCACAAAACAACGATTTCAAACGTCAAATGAAACAAATGTTTGACCGCAATTTAGATGAATCTCGAGAACAATTAGATCATTTTTACAGTGAAACTCGCCGTGTAGTTCAAGAAGCTCGGTTAGAAGATTTAAAACACAACAGAAAAGAATTAAAAGCCCTCAAAACAGAAACATTTCAATTAATTCTATCAAATCATTCAGAAATAAATAATTTAATTAAAGAAAACAGGAAAGAGGTAAATAAAATGGTTGAATCTCTTTCGCAAAAAATTTCGGACTTGCAGATGAGACACACGCCATCTCCTTGGCATGATTCTCGCTGGGAATCAATTGACAACGGTTATCACGCTAGCACACAGCAGGTATCAAAACCTACATCCCTACCGTCTACAAGTACCACTACTACAGTGACGACTACAAACACAGGGACACATGCGACACTTAGTACGGGTATAGCAACAGCTCTCCCCCCACCACTGTCCACAACACCTTCCGTGCGCGCTACTCTCCGCAACCGTACACTGCAATTCACCGAACCGCCAGAAATTCTCATTTCCCCACCACTTTCTGACAGCGATCCTTACGAAACACCTCACATTCATACACAAGAACCTATCGGAAGACCCCCACCAATTTATCGCAATCCAAATCCAAATTTGCATAAAATAGTAAAATCTTGGGACCTAAAATTTCCAGGTACACTAGATGCAGACGAATTCATACATGAATTTGAACGCAAATTAAATGCATCAAATATCAATCCCAATGACGCGCTATCAACAATGTCTCAGGTACTTGCCGAATCTGCGTACACATGGTTCGCAACATTCCGCAATTCTTGTAACACGTGGACTGAATTTTCAGCCAAATTTCGGTCGATATTTGGCGATTCTAATGATGACCAACGCATCACGAATAAAATTCAACGCGCCGTCCAACTCGAAGATGAATCCGGAATTGAATTTGTAATAAGAATAGGCTCCTTGTATAATAAATTGCAACAAAAAGTCCCAGAAGAAAAATAACTAGACAAAATTTACTCGGCTCTTCATTCTGACTTAATTTTACAGTTTGACTGTGACAGTTTTATAAATTACGACGGTATAATTCGGAAAATTCGCAAATACGAAGAAAAAATAGCAACAATGCAATTTACTTCAAAAATTCGCGAACAAGACTCGAAAAAAACTCGTAACTCACGCGGTAAAAATCAAATAAATGCAATTGAAACTTCCCCGCCCACAACTGATCCCGCTCAACAAAATAAATCGGAAAAAGAACCAAAAGCGGAAAATGCGTCAAAAAAATCAAAAAATAATAAAAAGCAAAATAAAAACGAACCGGAAATTAGTTTAAATAAAGTAGAAATTTATAAACAACAAATTAAAAGACTAGAAACAAAATTACCGACAAGCGAAAAACAGAAATCTGAAAATGATCAGAGCGCTAAGAAGCTACCTGCCTTCCCACCACCGGCCCGTAAATCACGCCGCCGATCCACTTCCAGGTCTTCTCGCTCCTCACGTTCCGTGTCATCGCGACGAGAGGGGGGAAAACGTAGATCACCAGCGCCTAGAACTCGTGACCACAGCAGAGACTCGAAACGAGACAAAGACCGCAGTGACGGACGCAGACACGAAAATCGCAACCAACGCGGACGCGGAAATAAAAACGGATGGAATGGTCGTGGTCGCGGTAATAATAATTATGATTATTACCAATACCTTTCGCAATTCTGCCAACCCGGCAATGCGCAACAACCATTCACACCCCCGCAAATGCCCTTGCCACCTCAAGTACCACCTTGGTTCTGCAATCGTGATTTTCCAAACAACCTCGGTTTCAACGCACCCAACCCTTTTTCGCCAAAAAACGACATAGATTCCAGGAGATATTAAATCTCCCTGGCGAACAAAAAATTAATTCAAATAAAAATTCGGAAAATCCTAACGATAAAATTGTAAAAATAAATAACCGCGATATTATTGACAACCATGTAATACCAAGTTGCAGTCACACCGCAAAGGACTCAACGTGTATTCCTCAAAATGCATCAGCGCTTAATCAAGCGCATGCCAGCAGGAATTTCACTAGTGACTCCGAAAGCGAATACGATGACAATTGCTACTCGGAATCCGAGACGGAGTACTCAGACTCAAGCGACGAGCTCATCCCCACTACCGTACACACTGACACAGTAGAGACGAGCATACACTCACTTACGTCGAAGCCCTTGTCAAAACCAGCTGTTGGCTTACTAGCAGCAGCCAGTAAATTCAAGCGCTTAGTACACAAAGGGCCTGCATTGCCCTTACCGCCACAAAAACGGAACACGATAACCACAACAATAAATATCGGCGATAAACAAATTATCGGTCTTCTCGACACAGGTAGCGATCGTACCTTTATGTCCGGAGAATTATACGATTTAGTGAAAGAATTCGCGAACGGTAACCCAATTTAAGATGCAATAATTCGTGCAGGCGTACAATTAGCTCAACGCGACCACGTAGCCGCATCCCGTTATTCCGCAAAATTTGACGTTACAATTAATGATTGTACTGGCGAATTATGGTTCGCAGTCCTCGATGGACTAACCACGCTTATAATATTAGGCATGGACTTCATAACCGCATGGCAAGTCGTCATAGACGCCAGTAAAGGTTATTGGTCCATCGAAGATTCAAAAACACAGAATCCTTTTATCCCAGCAAATAACTCGCGTAATTTTCTAAATTCGGTGCAATTATTAGAATTAACACCCGAACAAAGCAAAATTTTAGATGAATTTGTAGATAAAAAATTATCAAATTTCGCAGAATACACCGGCATCACGAACTTAGCAACTTACGTAATTGAATTGACAGATCAAACCCCGTTTAAACTCAAACCTCACCGTTACAGTTTAGAAGCTAATAAAATAATAAATGATCAAATTGATAAATATATCGAAAAAAGATTTATAATTCGAAGCTTCGGTAGATTCGCGAGTCCTATTGCTTTAACTTATCGTAAAGATGACAGACCAAGAGTTTGTATGGATTTCCGAAAATTAAATAAAAATACAAAAAAATCTGCATATCCTTTACCGCGAACTGTACTACTACAAACCAAACCAACTCAAAAAAACCATAGGCGATAACAACGCATGGAAGAAAGTGTTAAAAGAAAATGAAATACTCTCGATTATTTCCAAATATCATGACACCTTACAATCCGCACATCAAGAAATTAATAAGACTTACTTGTCAATTATTAATCACCATTATTGGCCCGGTATGCGCGAAGATATTAAAAGATATATCGACGAATGTGAAATTTGTTTAAAATCCAAACCTAAAAACAAACCCCCTCAAGGACTTATGTATCCGCGTAAGTTCAATGAACCATGGGATGTTGTTTCTTTAAATATTGTAGGACCACTTCCGCGATCTAAATCAGGAAAATCTTTCACTTTAGTTTGCGAGGACATTTACACACGGTATATTGAATGTTTCGCCCTATCAAAAGCCGACAGTCCAAAAATTGTTAAGTCATTAAACACTTTAATTAACAAATGGGGAACACCCAGAACTTTTGTCACAGACAACGGAACTGTATTCGTTAATCGCAATATTACGAAATTCTTAAACGAAATTGGTTCTGACCAACGCACGACACCGGTCTATCACCCACAGTCCAACCCTGTCGAACGTTTCGCTCGCGAACCAAGACGTACAGGAGAACAGAAACTCGAAATTAACACCAAACTGACAACTGACGATACAGTCAATGACTGGACAGAACGATTAAAACGCATACATAACCTTCGTGCAAAAGTTCAAAAATTAATGATCAAAGCTTGTGAAAAGCAAAGAAAAAATTATAATAAAAACCGCAAAAATGATATAACTTTCGAACTTGGAAATTTAGTATTCTATCCAAATAATAAATTGTCAAAAGCCATTGAAGGTTATAGTTCTAAATTAGCGCCTCGATATAAAGGCCCAGCCATTATAACGGAAAAATTATCCCTCATGGTGGTAATTATCGGCGACATGCATGGTAAAAAAATTGGAAAATATCATGTGAATGATTTAAAACTCGCAAAAAAGGTCTTCGATCGCAAAACAATTTGTAAAATTTCTTTTTAGATTCAACATGGATTCAACCGACAACAACAACGCCAACAGCTTGTCCAGCCTCCCCGAGATTCCAATAACTCGAATTTCTGCGATCTCTGATAATGGAAGCCAACTGGAGTTCGACCAGCAATTATCCGGTTTCATGATGTTAAATAAAGTAAACCTTAAATACATCGTGAATTCGCGACAAGAGTTTTCTGAACAGCTGATAGAAGCTAACCAAACTATCAGCATACTTCGCAAAAAACTTGCTGCAGCCGAAACAACACCGTCTACCAGTGGTATCACCGACATGGCTGTGCATTATAAAATGTTGTCAGATTTGGTCCAAGAGAAGCAAAACCTCGCAAATCAACTTGCGAAACATAGAAGGAGTTTACACCGTAAGCCTTAAATATAAGCCTCCGCGCGCATAAACGGATATACCTCCAGGAGCATAAATTTGCGCCTGCGCGAACACGTGGTCAAGGCAAACTCTTTCACAACACAGCTGCAGGCAAACACTTTGCGCAGACGCAAGTATATCCTCATGGAGGCATATCCGTTTATGCTCGCGGAGGCTTATATTTAAGGCTTACGGTGTAAACTCCTTCATAGAGAAAAAACTGCTCAACAGCTTTTGAAAAATGAAGAGGAAATTGTTCACTTCAAATCCGAAGCCACGAAATTGAAGCAGAAAGCCGATTCTTACGAAGCAGACTACTACTCGCTATTAGATGACTACAACTACACAGAAAAATTGAATCATCGCACCCGCGATCTTTTCAGACACAAAATTTCTGAAGTCTTCAAGATGCAGTCAGAGCTTCGCGAGATAAGAATTCGACCAAGAACCCCAAAAAAAAGTCTTAATTGTGGTGAACAAGGTCACAGCTTCAAAGTTTGCCGAAAAGCGTACAATAAACGCTTCTGCCAAAAATGCTACAGTCCAGACTTCTGCACCGACGAATGCCCATGGCCACATGTCGCGGAGGAAAAGTTCGATGTCCCTGAACATCAAAGATGCAAAGGATGCAAGCGACCCAAAAACCTGCCCGATGTCAACTGCGGCGAATGTCGTAGAAGAGAAATGGAGCAAAGAATCGCAAACAGAGACCAGCAATTGCTCGAATTCGACAACCAAGTCAGCAACCTGCAAGTCACTCCCAAGCCGCCTCCCGCACAAGCCAATGGTGCAATCCCAAAACAAATTTCCTTACCAAAGCCCAAAGACATTCCATCCAAGTCGTTGTCCCGCGCAGAAATGGCTCTGCGAACAGTAATAAATACGCAGAGACCACTGCGAGAACCAACCACACTGAGAGATTCTGCAATGCGAGAGCCGTCTCCAACGCTACCACTTTCAGAGATTGCCATCGAGAACGAGACCCGAGATCCAAAAAAAGTTCTCTCACCGTTCGACTCAGATGACAACAACGCTGAACTGTGGAAAACATTGTCCCAAGCCTACGAACTAGGAATCAACGACGAAGAAGAAGAAGTGTACTAGTGTACTAGTGTAGTCGCACCCAAAGAGTTCCCATCAGCTGTTTGTGAGTGTATATTGTGCTTTCCGTTGCGAGTCGAACCCGTACTTATATATATTTTTCAAACTCAATTTTTAATTTTCAAATTAAAATCTCGCGATTAGGGTTGTCACAAGATATATTTATTTTTGTATTCCTTTCGGAAGACAAAGATTACGTATTTTTTATTTTTGTCTGAGTATCTAATGTTTGAGTTATAAGTATTTCGAAAATATTGCATTTTAAAATTTTTACTTATTTTCAATAACGTTTACGATTTAAGGGGATTAGAGAAAGGTCTCAATGTAACAAAAAATATTATACACTCGAACCCTTATAGAAGGAATTGATTGATCACGAATTGTAAGTATTCACAGTTAAAAGTTTGCTTATTGTTTTTAATCGTCGCTAATTAAATTAAAATTTTTATGAAAAATTTTAATAGTTTTCAATCGTATTAAAATTTTTAAAGTTTTTGTTGAATTGTTTTCAATTGTAAGCTTGCAATTTATAAATGAGGCATTCTATTTTAAAACGACCCCCCTTGTAAACAATTGCCAATTTAAGGCAATTTTTAAATAAATATTTCTCCTATTTAAATAAACCAATTGTATTTTGTTACTAGCAGTTTTGAAAGATAAATTCTCGAACTTTATGATAGTAATAAAAATTTTAAAAAAATAACGTAATTTTATAAAAAATTTGATTTGAAGGTTAAACTTCTAAACATCTCAAAACACGTTATATCCGCTTTTGAAAAAATTGATGTCAAAATAAAACAAATATTCTATTTTTATTGCTATGAAAATGATTTTCGACATCAATTTTTTCAAAATCGGATATAACGTGTTTTGAGATATTTAGAAGTTTAATCTTCAAATCAAATTTTCTATAGAATTACGTTATTTTTTTAAAAAAAGCTTTTTACTATCATAAAGTTCGAGAATTTATCTTTCAAAACTTCTTCTTTAAAAGAATATTTATAGCAAAACTCAATACAAATATTTTGTAAATCTTGCTTAAACATTAATTCTGGTTATACAAATATTTCCTCTTTTTAAAGTAGGGAGAATTTATTTGAAGATAAAATAAGCCGAAGCAAAAAATTTCTTATAATTTCTGCCTGTCGTTGACGAAAACTGAAATTTGCTCTCATCTGCTTGACGACAATTAATTTTTTGCATCATATATTTTGGACAAACAAAAAGGAGTAACGATATATCTAAATTCTAACATCAAAAAATCAACATTTGTAGGAACCATAAATGCCATTTTAATTTTAATCACCTATACTCAGTTATAATAATTTTCAAGCTTGTTAATAGCAACCAAAGAAAAGGGGAAAAAATGTCCCAGAAGTCAACTGGAGTAGACAAATGTTTCTAAAAGAGACTTGAATTTGTTGATCGATACATGTTTGTAGCATATTAGTGAATAGATACAAGAGAACGATAAAAGTAAGCATAATAAACGTAGAGTGGAGTTTTAAGTTGAAATGGAGATACGAGCACTTCAAAGCGGCATTCATGACCATACCTGAGTTTCGAAAAAAAAATTTTATATATATATATATTCGCATTAAACGAGTCTTATCTGACTAGGAATAGTTACTCAGTTGCAGTTACTTGTCCATTCATAGCGACTCACAAGTTTGCGATCCGTCCTCAACAACTCTCACAACCGCGTTGCTCTTCTTCGCTTATAACGTTATACGTGCGATGGAAAAATTTTCGACGCAAAGAGAGAAAGAGAGAAGAGCGGAAGAGAGCAATGTCTACGCATAAATTTGCCAGCAAAATGTATAAAGATTCCATAATGCAAACGGAGATTATTCTTTGGATAAAAGCCATGCGCTTGACAAATACAAAGAGGATATAAATAAACGGGAGCTGATTAGCCCCCCTCTTGTCTTTTGTTACATGAAATATGAAAGCTTTACTATTTACACTAACTCCTCCTCCCACCTTTTTCTATTTGTTAACGAGGAAGTAACATACATCAAAAACATTTAAAATTCTAACTTCCCTAAACATAAATTAAATATTTCCGGAAGTTCGATATTTCCAACTGTTCTTCCCAGAAATATCTTATTAATTGCAATGATATAATTTTTATGGTAAAAAAATTATATTTATATCTTTTTCTAAATGATGAGGGAGGCATAGTAGAAGAAGAAGAAGAAGCGAGATTATTTAATAAAATAACGCTATCAGTTCGTTGAAATCGGTAGGTTGGAATATAGGATGTTTTCCTAGGAAGATCGTGTCGTTCTTCCTCTTTTACACTAATGGCGATAGTCAGCCTGCCGGATAAACACTCTGTATAACTTTAACTCTTGAAGATACCATGCAGTGCACAAGTGTGATACATAATTTCAGACAATCGACATTCGCATCGCTACCGACGCGACGCTCCCAGATAATGTGAGTTTATGCCAACGACAAGTTTACTGTGTAAGTGATATCCCATAAAAGATAGTGAATCGTTGCGGCTTCTTGAGGGCTGGAGAGAGAGAGAGAGAGAGAGAGAAGAGGAGAAAAATCATAAGGAGAAATAACGACTTTTCTCACGGTGTGATGATCCCCTTTACTGTCAAGTTAAGCTCGAACATGAATTCTCGAATTATTTGAGAAGTCAAATGATAACTTTAGATTGGCGGTGCAATCAACGTTCTGAATAGTCACGATGAGGAGAAGGAAAGTCCGTGCGCAAAGATTATAGAGCCCATGGGTAGTATAAGATCTCCTTAATGCCAAGGACCTCACTTTTCAAATATCACACAAATTATCGATATCCACTTCGTGATCTAACACTTCTCTTTGAAATGTAACCATCTCTTGAATCTAGCAGACTCTTGTTGATATTATTTACTGCCATTGATTATATTTTCTGTCTGTGTTACTTAACACTTTGTTAAGAAGGAAATTACGTATTGAATAGGAAATAGAATTATTAGAAAAATCAAAATAGTTCTTTAATATTTATTATATCTTTTCTATTTTATACCATTGTACTTCCTTAATACTAATTAATTGTCCTTCCTCTACGAATTTTTTACCTCTTTTTCTCTTTCCTCTTTATTTGCTTAATCTTTTTCACATCTTTTCCTACTTTTTCTTTTACACCTTTATCTTGTAACGATAAAAATCGTTTTTCTTATTTTTTGTAAATATGCCGTTCTGGTGGTTCCTCCGTCTTCCAATTTATCGTGCTCAGCGATAGCCCATAAGGTACCGCAACCATCGGTAATTAACCGAATTATATATTCGGGTGTCATCGGACCACACACGAAACGTGTCATCAATCACGATGACGATCTCGATCGATTCTCTCATCAGAGAGAAGCGAGATTTCAAACCGCGATTTTCCGCGCGTAATCGATGTACTGCGTCGCATGATGCCACATGGGTGTTTAAACTTTTTACCGGCACAAACCGGCATAAGCATAAAAACATTGCGATAACGTACACGGGAAAAAATTTACTATGGGGACTACAGTACCACTTAGTGGAATAGACAAAATTTACAAATTGTGCTATAAACAAATAACAAAATTGTGTTTTTCTTTCAAGCAATTTGAGCCTACACAAAAAAATCCTGCCTTGCACTAAGAACGGTGTGTGTATTTCTCAGCGTATTTTGCAAATCCAGCTATCTGTTAAATTAAAAATTTTAATCATCATTTTTATATTTTAATGCATGAAAATTCATAATTTAATAAAAAGAAAACAAAACATACAAAGATCTATGTACGTTTTTAAGGGGTTATACCTGTTTAGAGGCTTAAAAAAGTGTTTTTCAAAAAAATGTTATAAGTACAGTTTTAAGTTATTGTTGGCAACTAATATACCATTTGATTAAGCAACTTTTAAAGAGTAAGAAAAAATTTTATTTTCAATTTTTTTTTACAAAATTTTTGGAAAAATTGTGAGACTTGCAAAAAAGACGCATTTTTCACCCAAAAAAATCGACTTTAATTATTTATAAAAAATCCTGTTCATCAATTTTAAAAATCGTGTGTACTTCACTAGATAATCTAACTAAGAAGCTACAGTTAAATTTTCAGGCCAATCGGACAAAAACTTTTCGAGTTCTACTGCTCGCCGATTTGCAAAACATGGTTTCGAGTAAGACGCGTTTGAAGTTAAATTGTTCTATTTTGACATTCCGGAATTGATTCAGAAAAATTAAATTTTAGAACACTTCCAAGTTGTTTTCACGCAAAGACGTTTTTGATTATCAATCTAGGAATGTCATAGTATATTTTAAGCCAATAAAAAAACATTGTTTTAAAAAAAATGCATTTGAAATTAAAATTTTCTATTTTTATAATTCGGAACTTCTCCAGAAAAAATAATTTTAAAAACATTTCCACGTTGTTTTCATGCAAGGACGTTTTTACAAACATTGCATCAATTCTGGTACTGGAGTTTAATAAGTGATGGGTTGAGCGGTGAGGGACTGCAGTCAACTTTGCTGAGTAAGTCATATATGAGGCATTATTCCTGAACTGCCCCAAAAATAAAAAAAAGTTCTTGGAATGCTCTGTAGTGTCTATGAGCAAGGAGGGATCATATCCAGCTGCGGAGTTTTTATTTTTAAGGGTCCAATCACCACATGATAATATATGCTGATTGGTGTAGTTTATAAACCACCAAATGCTTCTTTAGGTATCGATTTGGAAGATCAAATTTTTTCCTTAACACAGAACTTTAATAATATTATTGTCACAAGTACCTTTAATTGTGACTTAAATGGTTCCTCCGGTATTACTAATTATCTCAAATATGAGGCATTATTCCTGAACTGCCCCAAAAATAAAAAAAAGTTCATGGATTTCCTTTATACTTTGGAAATATGTTACCCTAGTAGGTACAAGTTACTACACCAATTTATAGGTCCAACCCCCCACCCCTATCAAAAGGGTGGGGGGTTGTAATTTCAGCTTAAACTCGAACATGCGTTTTTTAAAAATTTGTAGTTTCTACTTAAATTATTCGATTAAAAAAAGTAAGTAGTGTTTTAGAAAGGTTTTTTTGTGTTCTTTTAAAATATTTTATTTATTTAATAAAAAAAAATTTTTTTTTTGAAAATTTTTTAAAAATAAATAGTTTTTTTGCAAGTTTGGCAGTTTTTATTTTCTTTTTAATAATCTCAAATAAAAGCTTGGGATTTCCCCTTAAAGAAGATATAAGTCTGAAAATGGGCCGAAACGATTTGCCAAAGATATAGTGTAATAAGTAGAATTTGTCCGTCCGGTCGCGCACTCCAGCGCGATGAACAGTGGGATTTTTTTTCAACTTACTATTGAAAATTGTCTAGAAACTACAAATTTTATCGGATGTTGATGTTCTTGATTTAAAATTACTAAGAGATCCATTAAAGTCGATTTTTAAATTTTTAATTGTTTATTTTTTTCTTGTTTTCTTAAAAATTTGACAAATTACAATATTTTTAGAAAAAATCATGTTTATTTCTTTATTTTTCCATTGCACATGATCGAAATCAATTTAAATTAGTCTAGTATGACCACCGGACAATTAATAAAGCATAATACAATTTATTTAAATTGTTGCAAACAATGTTAATTAACAAATAGATTACCTCGGACCATCTTCATAAAAAAAATTGGTTTTTTTGCAGACAAGTTTAAATTTATGTCTAATTTAGTAAAAAATTATTTTACAGTTAAAAATTATCATTAATATTAACAATTATATAAACAATAATCAACTTTCTTTTGTATTTGTAAACATTTTCGTCATTCTTTAAACTTTAAATATTTATATCATATGTACATTCTTTCAAAAACTTAAAATATTTGTTAGCTTAAACAATTACATTTGTTACAAACAAATTTTTTATTTTTAAATAAATGAGTAGCTTTTTCCATCAAACAAAATTTTTTTTTTATATTTACTATCATAAAAAAGAACTCCTTAATGAAATGGGAATACATTAAATTATTCAATTAATTTTAATAAACATTGTAAGTTAAGAAATATTTATATTTTTAATGAAGTAAACCATTATTCGCTTAAAACAGTTTACATTTAAATGCCCAAGCTTTCATTTGAGATTATTAAAAAGAAAATAAAAACTGCCAAACTTGCACAAAATTGCAAAAAACTATTTATTTTTAAAAATTTTTCCAAAAAAAATTTTTTTTTATTAAATAAATAAAATATTTTAAAAGTACACAAAAAAACTTTCTAAAACACTACTTACTTTTTTTAATCGAATAATTTAAGTAGAAACTACAAATTTTTAAAAAACGCATGTTCGAGTTTAAGCTGAAATTACAACCCCCCACCCTTTTGATAGGGGTAGGGGGTTGGACCTGTAAATTGGTGTAGTAACTTGTACCTACTAGGGTAACATATTTCCAAAGTATAAAGGAAATCCATGAACTTTTTTTTATTTTTGGGGCAGTTCAGGAATAATGCCTCATATTTGAGATAATTAGTAATACCGGAGGAACCATTTAAGTCACAATTAAAGGTACTTGTGACAATAATATTATTAAAGTTCTGTGTTAAGGAAAAAATTTGATCTTCCAAATCGATACCAAAAGAAGCATTTGGTGGTTTATAAACTACACCAATCAGCATATATTATCATGTGGTGATTGGACCCTTAAAAATAAAAACTCCGCAGCTGGATATGATCCCTCCTTGCTCATAGACACTACAGAGCATTCAAGACCCCTTTAAACGTAGAAGCAGACACCTCCACCTCTACATCTCGCTCTGTCTTTTCTAAAAAGTAAATGATTATCAAGTTGAAAATAGTTATTAGAACAACTCTCAATAAACCATTTTTGTTTTAAGAGGATTCCTCTTATTTTTATGCATATAGAAATAGAAAATTAAATTAAGTAGAAATTTAAGAAATAGCGGGGGTTCTATCATAACTAAGGTTCAACCTTGACTATGTTCCTCTAGATATTTAGTGTGGTAGTGAAAAGAAAGAAAAGGTAGGAATGGGTTTGGTAAAAATTATATGATTTAAATGGGAAAAGAGAATTAGAAATTTAAAAGCTATAGTTGAAGGAGGTAAACAAGAAGGTAAAAAAAGTTAAAATAATTAAAGGAGGCAAAGAAAAAAGAAGAAAAAGGTAAAAATTTTTTATGGAAGTAGAAAAACTATAAAAGAAAATAGGAAAAGGTGGAAAATTGTAAAATAGAAAGTTAAAGAAGTAAATGTCTTAGATAGAAAAAGAGGAGAATATAAAGTAATTAAAAGAAGTAGAGAAGAAACAGAAGTAGACATTTAAAAACTCGAGGAAAAATGTTTACAGTATACAAAAAATAAATAAATATGTTTAGTCTCTGTATACAAATTGAGTATGTAAATGATCAGGAAGAGAAAAATAGTGGTATTCAATAATAGACTAACAATATTTTTTCAATACTAATTACTTTACGATTAAATATAAATCTTCGGATTATTTTATTTCCCTTTAAACCAATTTTTTTCCAAAAAGAAAAAATCTAACGAATGTAAATCACGTTTCAAACAAAAAAACTGTAAAGATTGCGTTCAATTTAAATATTTATTTTCCCTGTGAACTCTCTCGTTTGTTTGATGAAAACAATCTGAAAGAAATTGAATCATATTTTACAAGACAAGGTAAAACATGTGTTTAGATATATAGTTTGTTTATTTTACCTGCGCAAGTCTGTGCTGCACTTGAAAAGTGTTTTATTACAAATTTTATTCTGTTCCGGACAGTAAAGCATTGGGTTCCGCAGAAAAGATAGCGTATGCGGGTTGTCCGCATAACTTTTTCGCTAAAACCTTTCTCTTTCTATCGGGGTGTGTGTATACACTTTACGTTTACCAGCTTCCTCTCTGCAAAACAAAATTGAAGCGGAAGACGTTACGTCGCACATTCCTTTCCTTTCCTTTCTCTCTCACTCACTCCTCTTGCCTTGAGACATACCATCCCTCCACTATCCATGAAAAATTTTACTGTTCAAGATCTACACTTAAACCATCTGAATTCTAGAGGTCGCATATCTTGCAAAACCGGACATCAAGAGAGGAGGGAAAAAGAAACTATAAAGTCCTAAATATATTTTCAAGCGTACTTCCAAAAGTTCTCTATTTTTAAATTCAAGAAAATTTGTTTTAATGACTAAAAGAAAAGGAAATTAAACTAATTTAAATTAAATTGTAAGAAAATTGTATTTACTAAATATCTCAGTTAATTGTTGTAGTTAATTCTTAATTAAACGAGAAAAAGGGAATTTTCCCGAGAGAGTAATGGTCTTATTTTGAAAAACTTGTTTTTTTACTTCTTATTTTAAAAGGTGTTTCTATAGGGTATTTACTCGTTTACATTCAGACTTAATTGGCTTTGGAAGAGGGAATTTTATTTTCCCATATAATTTTATTATATGTATCCATTAAAAAAGATCTTGATTCTGAAGGACTTTTGTAAAATGGAAATTGATACTATCGAGAGAGAGAAAAAGAGAGAGATAGACAGAGTAGTTCACCAATTTCGCATTTAACACACACATACACTCACACATATACAGTGGGTCAGGTAGACATGAAATAGAAATTAAACTGACTGGTGATCGTGCAAAAGATGGGCGTAAACGGAAAGCTCGTAATTTATCTAGTTTACGGCCCTTCCACAGCGAATCACCCCTCTGTGAGTTTCACCAAAAACCCTTTTCGAAGGGATTCACCAAACTGAAACGACAGGAATGTATTTTCCTTGGCTAGACAAATTAATAGCCTTTACATTAAACGTGAAGCAATCTTCTCGAAACTCAACTACTTCTACCTTTCAAGCTTAACTCGCTTAAATCAATTAAATTTTGTCCATGAATCAAGTTTCCCTTTTTTACCTTGTATTAATATTTCAAAATTGAAAAATTTTTAGTTAATTTGTAAAAATTTGTAAAGTCTTTTTTAAAATATGTAAAAGATTTTTTTTACTGTTTATTATTATTTACTAATTATAATATAATTTTAATCTAAAAAAAAATTATTATTATTTAACCTCTATATTAAGGGGTCTTGTAACTTTTTTAGCACTAAAATCGGATGATTTTAAAAAATTTTTTGCTCATAAGTTTTAAAATATAATTGATCGAAAGTTTTTACATGTCATTGTGTATGTTAAGAAGTTTTAAAAAAAGGATTTCAGATTGGAAAAAATATATATACCTTCCTTCTACAGAGGGCGCTTTGTCTACTGGTAAAAATTACTTTCAATTACGGTTGTCACTGTAGCTCATAGCAGAATCATCTAAAATAAAAAAATCAAACATAATTTTAAAATAGATGACTTAATACAGGACCTAAACCTCGAAATACTTAAAAATATCAAAAATTAAAAAAATGGCAAGCTTTTGAATCTAAACATCTGAAAAAACACAATTTTTCTAAACATAAATGATACACAAAAAGTGTAATTTTGAACATTAGTAGTAAATCAGAGGTTTAGGTCCTGTATTAAGT